CTGCTCCCCTCAGCAGTGTGCTTCATCCATCTGCCTGTTCTGCTCCCCGCTCTGTCTCTGGTGAAGCCTCTCGCCACCCCGAGCCTCTGGCCTGTACCCCAGTTCTGTATGAACAAATAAACAAATCTTTAAAAAAAAAAAAATGTACGCCTGAAAAAAAATGGGGAGGTTAAAATATCACCTGGCTAATAAAGTCAGTCTATTTTCAGGAAAAAAAAAAATGTACGCCTGTATCTCCAAAGCATTTCTTAACATTTAGCATTGTTTAAGTGGGCCTGAGTTAGCTGCATTCTAATTCCCATTTACAGGCAAATGTTTGCTGGATGGAAACTAAGAGATAGTTCCTGACTGTAAGTGATGCTGTGTTGCTCTTCATAACATTAGTAAAGGAGGAGAGGACACAAATGAGTGAGAACCTGTTAATAGAAAATCGTTGCTACCTGAACTTTCTGTGGCTAGGTAACACTGTCGGGTCTGAACTTGGTAACAGAATGGCTGTAGGGAACAGTGTGTTGTAAAGGGTGATCGGTCTCTTGGAATGACCTCAGTTACTAGTGGCAAGAGTATTAAGGTACTGACTCCTGCACATAGAAGTGATTTGGAAAATTTAAAGAAGTCTGAATATGTTTGGCTATGTGAACTCTGAGGTTGTATCTAGTTAGTGGATCCATTAAACAACAACTTGTTTGAGATGAACTGATAGACATTTTCTGGGTCACTTCTTAAGCACTTCATAATTGTTTTCAGTGTGATTTAATAAATTGTATGAATGCTTTAAATTCCATTTCATGTAGTTTAAAATTATATGGGAGGGACATACCTTTACTAATAATCATATGATGACATTTACTGATTTTGGGGAAATATTTATAGTATCAAGTGGTACACTTTTGAAACATACTATTAATAGATGTCATTCTTTCTGTGTCAGAAATTCCTTCTTAATTCTTTTTAGCATACATCTTTGTTGATATTTGATTCATCTGTTAGTATAGTCGAATGTCTGGTTGTATGATCTTTTTACCAAAACCATTCTTTGCAGATGCTTTTACAGATTCAGCTATTAGTGCTAAAGTGAATGGTGAACACAAAGAGAAAGACCTGGAGCCATGGGATTCAGGTGAACTCACTACTAATGAAGAACTGGAGGCTTTGGAAAATGATGTAGTAAGTAAAATCTTTTCATTGAGTATCAGACTGTAAGGTCAGTTGTTAGGACATCCTATCAGTTGGTTTTAAGTATGTTTTTGTTGTTGTAAATATATTTAAAGCATGTTTCATTGTGTATGTAAAGACTTCTGTATTGGTGAGAAAAATGTTTCTTTAGGATTCTTCTGACTTACTTACCTGCTTTAAGAGCTAAGTCATAATACGCTCCTTACAAATTTAAATTGAAAACTGGGATGCCAGTACATTTCACTTTGAAAGCTTTGCAGAGATAGCCCAAGGAATGTTGTGTGTTGTCTGTTGACTTTACCTAGAGATGAACCAAAGCATTATTTTTAGGCTTAATGCCTGCAGATACTTAGTATTAAGTAAGATAGTGAGATCACTTTAGAATTACTAAGTGAATTCCTTGGTCTTAAAATTATCACCATTTGCCCCCAGAATCTGCTCTTTCTAAATACTTCTTGGCATCTGTTATTTTTGCTTGCCCTAGAACACATCTTCTATAAATTAAGTCCTTAGTACTGTTAGGAGTCTGTAAATTAATATATCTAAACTGTGGAGGCATAAAAAGCAGGTAGTGTCAAAAATGAGTGCTTTCATAGTAAACTTTAAATAGATAAGGAATCTTCCATTGATTATTACAGAGAAATCTTTATAACAAGTCAGCATTTGATGTGTAAGTCATTGTCCAATTACAGAACTAGAAATACATAGGTAAATCATCACTAGTCTAAGTTTTCAGTCATATCAAACCGAATGCATAGATTGTCAGTCTGTACCACACTGTAGTATATGGAAAAGCGAGCATTTGTTTTTCACTTCTAGTGAGGTGGATAAATTGATATGTATCTTACAAAAAGAATTCTGGCAACGTTTATCAAAATTTCTGCCTCTGAAAATTTACTTGGTCCTCATGTAGCCACAAGACATGCAAATAATTATGTGTGAGGATTTTTTTTTTAAAGATTTATTTATTTATTCATACAGAACTGGGGCACAGGCCAGAGGTGCAGGGTCCGTGAGAGGATTCACCAGAGACAGAGTGGGGAGCAGAACAGGCTGATTGACAAGTCCCCTGCTGAGGGGAGCAGCAGGCTGGTCAGGAGAGGTCTGCCGCGCCCTGTGGATCACCTCCGGGGCAGGGATCAACTCATGCTGAAGTGGCTCTAGTCTCTTAGTGCTGTGCCACCAGGGAGGACCCGAGGATGTTTTTTAATAACGTTTCTAGTCGTGAAAAGTTGGAAATATTTTAATTGTCCACCTGTAGGCCATGGGTTAAGTAAATTTATTGTACTTGCATTCAGTGGAAATACAATTTGTCTATTAAAAAGAACAGTGTTTTGATAAGGAAAGATAGCAAAAAAAAAAAAAGTTGCAGAGCAAGACGACCCTGTTTAAAAACTAATCATACTGACCATATTCTTATATATGCATGGACACTGGAGCTCTGCTAAGGAAGTTCTTAATAGTGGTTATCTGTGCACACTGGCTTTGTAAGACTGACCCTTTGCTGGTTATCTTTCTGCATAATTAAGGATATTTACATAATGACTGTAAAGCCTGCATAGGTAACTGATTTCCTGCCTACATGTTAGTTCTGTGGAATTGCTTTACTGGTAGAATTACACTATAGTCTTATCTAGGTCTCAGAGGGACCCAAGGTTGATTACTGACAACTTAGAGGGTAAGGTTCACTGTGCAGTTGGCGTCAGCATTGCTCAGATGATGTGGTGTCCGTCCTCTCTCTCCTGAGAAGGATAACAGTAATGCACTGATTTTTGCCTCATCCCACAAGTCAGGCTTTAAAAGAGGATTAGAGAAGTAATTACCCAGACATTGATACTCCCTGCTGAAGATTCTTCGAGCCTCTGCCCCAACTGATCATTACAGATTGAAGAATGCCAGGTAGCTTAAAAGATTAACATTTTTCTCGCAGATTTGTAGCGTTATCTACATTGTTACATGTAAGGGCACCCAGGCCCGAATTGTTCTTGCAGAGGAACCACAATTTTTAATAGAAAAAATTTTTAATAGAAAAATCAGTTTTAAACTCCAGCTTTTGTGACCTTGTCCAGTGATTGCCTGTTAAACTCATGCTGCCTTCTCTTTGAGGGTTCCCTGGAGGAAGGGCGCATGGCAGGGATCTGGTGCGAAGCTCCTCCTTAGACACAGCCATGTAACAGAATGCTTTAGCACCACCTCCTCTTTTCCCTCAAACACAGGAGATGTATTTGGCTGCAGGAAGCACCCTTGTGGCACATACCCTAATGATCGGTCAGAGGTGCTAGTTAAATACCTTGTGGAAAGGTGTCTATTAGGGAGGGGAAAACCCTGATCTGAAGGTTTTTGTTTCATAAAGTAAAATAATTAAATTTTTACTAATAATTTCATTATAGTTTAGTGTGGTTACTTACCAAATGTATACAAGAAAAACTCTTTCTTAAACTTTTTTTTTTTAAAGATTTATTTCTTTGTGCATACAGAACTGGGGTACAGGCCAGAGGCTCAGGGGCGATGAGAGGCTTCACCAGAGACAGAGTGGGGAGCAGAACAGGCAGATCGACAAAGTACACTGCTGAGGGGAGCAGCGGGTGGGTCAGGAGAGGTCTGCCACACCATGTGGTCACCTTCGGGACAGGCAGGAATCGAACTCATGCGGAAGCGGCTTTAGATTCTCAGTGCTGTGCTTTAACCCGCTGCGCCACCAGGGAGGGCCCTCTTAAACCTTTTAAATAGAAGTATAGTGTGATATTAATATGCTAGTTGTAAACTAAGAAGATAAAATACTTTACGATTTTAAAAAATGAATTTAATTTTCTTCTAGTCTAATGGATGGGATCCTAATGATATGTTTCGTTATAATGAAGAAAATTATGGTGTAGTGTCTACATATGATAGCAGTTTATCTTCATATACGTAAGTTTTTAAAGTTTGCTTTTATTTTAGTGTATTTGTCTTGAATCTTATCAACATAAATTATGATGCTGGAAAAGCGTTCTGTTGGATTTTAAGTAAAACAGTGATGTGAAAGAGTAATCCTATTACTACCAAAGGAGTAAATGCAGTTTACTTAAATCCTAATTTGATGTGTTAAATTTAGACATTCTGTTTTTAAGTTATAAAAACTAAATTTGCAAGTATAGTGATTATGGAGGAAATAGTCATCATAACCATTTTTGGAAATGTATTCCTTCAGGGAAAAGGTAACAGGAAAAAAAAACCAAATACTGACTTCATAAACAAACAGATCAATTGTAACTACCACAGTTTTATCAGATTTCAAATTCTAAAGTCTCTTATTAATTGGCTGTGACAGAGAACATGTGACTTCTGGCATACTTACTCTGCCTTTTGTTTTTCTCATGTTTCAGGGTGCCCTTAGAGAAGGATAATTCAGAAGAATTTTTAAAACGGGAAGCAAGGGCAAATCAGTTAGCAGAAGAAATTGAATCAAGTGCCCAGTACAAAGCCCGGGTGGCCCTGGAAAATGATGATAGGACCGAAGAAGAAAAATATACAGCAGTTCAGAGAAATTCCAGTGAACGTGAGGGCCACAGCATTAACACTAGGTATTTAAAGGAAATCATGATGCAGTATTTTGGATACACAACTCAAGGTCTGTGCGAGAAGGTGTATTATTGTTACTATATTTCATCTTTTAATGTAGCTAGGTAGAGAATGCAGGCAGAATTGATTTAAGAGTATGTTTAAGAAAGGAAACTTAAAAAATACTTTTTGCATGTCAGCACTTAGGGAGCCCAGTGTTGGATATACAGGAGTGAACAAGCGAAGTCTGGAAGAGTTTGTTAAAATTATAATGATCAGGTGGAGGTTATATACAACTCTCTAAGAGCACTCTGATTTGTTGTATTAGAGGTATGTTCAAAGCACTGGGAACTCCAGAGTGAAGAGGAACCTACAATACTCTGTGGGGTTAGAGAAAGCATCCCAGAAGAGATGGTGTTTTGTGGTTGAATACTAGGTCTGTCTGCTACTCATAGAGAAGTAAGAGAATGCCTCATGTGGAGAAAGGACCTCACGTGGTGAAAAGAGCCCAACCAACTCAAGCTACTTGTTTTACGTGCCGAGACTAAAGGGTGTGTTGGGGAACAGTGGTGGCAGTTGGTGATGAGAACTAAGGTGTAGCAATGAACCGGGGCTTGCCGCGTCAAGAGCCCCTTGTAGGCTGGGCAGAATGAAAACGAACTTTGGGACATTGAGAGCTGACTGGAATGTGGAGATCAGTTAGTGTATTGAATTAGTACAAATGTGAGAACTTGGTAACCAGCTAGACCTGGTTTAGAAAAACCAGAGGTGACTCAGTTTTGATAACTTTTGGATTGATGGTTGTACCAGTAATGGAGACAGGATAGATACATGGAGCAAGTTTAAGGGGGATATAGTAAGTTCATTTGTGCAGTTGCTCTGGAGGACTTGGAGGTCTTTCATTTATAGACACAATGAGAAACACCTATTCCATGCTGAAAGGGTGAGGTTTACAGTCTATCTTTAAGGCACTTACAACTTAGGGCCTGCTTATCTGAATGACAGTGTTCAGTGACAGATACTGAGATGGACTGGCTGTGTGGATTAGGGATCCATCAGTATTGCTGATACTGAAACCATGAAAAAGCAGTTAACAGCCACCAAGAGAATGAGATCACAGGTAAAATAAAATACAGAAAGTCAAGAAAGAAGGAAGCTTCAGGATAACAGGCTAACATAATGACTAACAGAATTAGTCATTATGAAGCCAGGTAGGATGTGACTGAACATACACATCTGTTAAACTTTTGGGTTTATGAGGAGAATGTGAGGGATGGGAAAACCCAGAGAATGGAGCTCAGGGTAAAACGGAAGAATTGGGAGTACCTGAGAATGAGGCTGAGGTAGTTTGGTTTAGTGTTTGACCTTTATACATTTTGAATTCCCTTATGCCTGAATTACTTTTAGATATGTGTCATTGGTCTGGTACCTATTAGAATAAAGTGATTTATAGTATCTCTTATTTTCAGGGAAAATAAATATATTCCTCCTGGACAAAGAAATAGAGAAGTCATATCCTGGGGAAGTGGGAGACAGAATTCACCACGTATGGGCCAGCCTGGATCAGGCTCCATGCCATCAAGATCCACCTCTCACACTTCAGATTTCAACCCGAATTCTGGTTCAGACCAAAGAGTAGTTAATGGAGGCAAGTATTTTGACCAAATTTGTCAGTGTCATCCATCAGATAAATAGATTTCTACATATTGCACGTTTACATAATTGTTAACAATGTAGACACATTCAGTGATTTCTGGGAAGTAGTTTTCAGTGCAAAAGTACTTACGGCTTGCCTTTTTGTGGTACTCAAAATAGAAAAAATTACTAAAAGTAGTATAAACTTGTCTGCATATGCGATATCTAGTGTGATGAAATATTCATGTATTAAGATAAGGTGTTAAATTTAAAGACTTTCACTGGTCAAAAACATTTCACATATAAAGAAATTGGAAACTTGGGGTAGCTTCTCAGTATTAAAAGCACCAAATGATAAGAATTATTTGGACTTAGTTACATGGAAAATTGTAATTTGTGTGAAATATCAGTGCTTAATGCACATTTCTTTTCATTAAATGTTTATTTCTGCTTACCTTAAGAGTTGAGGTAACTTGTAGTAAAACATGACCAATAACCATGTGAAGAAAGAATTGTGCTTAAAAAAAAAAAAAGAAAATAGCTTTTGTATGGGTAGATATTGTAGATTAGCAAGTTAAGTAGAAGAAACTTCCATGTTTGGTAGGAAGGTATTTTTCTAATCTACGTCTACTTCCAGGTTGACTATAACCCATGTAGGTCATGGGTCTTCCATTGTAAGTCAGGGCTGTTAGTCTACAGTGTGGTAGATAGTATAGAAACATGGTAATTAATAACAATATTATGTTACCAATTTAGGGAAAAGAGTAGGCATTCAATTTGAGGTATTTGGAAAGCTAGAAAGAAAAATAGAAAACACTGAGTTTCCAATTTCATTTGTTTTCACCGAGTCTTTCTCCAGAATTCCTCTCCAAATGAACACTCTTGAGTATTTTCTATACGTAGTCTTGGGGATGAAATTCTTTCTTACTGAGTATTTAGTTGTTCATGAGCAGAAATTTCAAAGTAAATAAACCAAAAGGGGGCTGGGATATGTATGATACTCAAGTATGTGGATCCCTGTGGAGAGGAGACCTGGACTGTTCCCTAAGACGAAGGTAAGTGATATGTAATGTTCCATGTTAGCTGTATTTTTGACCCGTGCATTCCCACCAGTGACAATTTTACCTGCTGCTGACTGCTATGTAGTTGCACCGTTTGTGAAGCAGTCTTTAGATAAGTATTTAATTGCATAAATTATTTAGACAGTTCCCCCTTTTCTAATTTGATAAGATTAAAGAGCTTTTTCATAAGGGAATGAATATTAACCTTTGTCACTCCTGTGACTCTAGGCAATAGAATTAATGTTTTATATTTACTTTAATTGACTTGCCTAGTGAGATTGCAAACTGAACTTTCTGTTTAAGTATAAAGGTCATAAAAAAAATCAGCCTTTTTACTGGGATCTAATTGCTGCTTATTTTCATTATGTTTTAAAAGCTAACCTAACAAATACTTCATTCCTGAGTTTGTGATTTATTATGTAAAATTAGTATATGTTGTCCTCCTTTTAATAATTGATTATGGAAAAATAGAAGCAGGTTTAGTAGGCAGAGTCTTAACTGTCTTCTTCAGTAGTATGTGTAGATCCTAATTAACCCTTTGGGAACGTGTATTCATTTAAACAGACTTAATTTTAAGGAGGCTAAAGTAAAATGGGAATTAATGTCAGTTAAGTTATGATAAAACTTATCACAAATCAAATGACTGTCCTCAAAGGGTTAAAATGTACAAGAAATCATTTTTGTCATTTTACTTTTTTTTCTGTTTACTTTTTCCCTCATTTTTTTCTTTAGTTTTTATACTTTCCTTCATATCATTTGTTCTGTCAGGTGTTCCCTGGCCATCGCCTTGCCCATCTCCTTCCTCTCGCCCACCTTCTCGCTACCAGTCAGGTCCCAACTCTCTTCCACCTCGGGCAGCCACCCCTACACGGCCGCCCTCCAGGCCCCCCTCGCGGCCATCCAGACCCCCGTCTCACCCCTCTGCTCATGGTTCTCCAGCTCCTGTCTCTACTATGCCTAAACGCATGTCTTCAGAAGGTACAATACCACAATTTGTTCATGTTTTTTGTCTTTGTTTAACTCCTATGTGAGTTTATAATTACAAAATAGTTTCCTCTTCATTATTTTATAACATAGAATTTCCGTGTTTTAACTTTAGTTTGTTAAAACGATTTCTATTAACCTTTTTGTTTGTGAGACAGAAATTTGTAAATACTGTGTGAAGCTATATGAAGTATCCTGAATTGTACATGTGGGGAATTTCTTTGCCTGGTAATGATGCTTCTTTGTAGGTCCGAAAGTCTGCCCCAGGGCCTTCTCCCTCCCACTTAGCACGGTCTGCTGTGGTGATTAATGGTAAACATGAACTTTCTTCACCCAGACTTAAACTTATTCTAGAACCTACCATTTTGTGTTTCTGGCCAAGGTATAGGGAACCTTACCTGTTGGCTACAGGCAAGAGTAATGGTTTAGGGCCCTTCCTGAGAGAGGGACATTCCATGTATACTACCTTGGTGTGTCTATACTTAGGTCACACTACAGGGTTTTATGTTTGGCGAATTAAAAAAAAAGTTTTGCCTTTGATACCAGAGATGTCTACTTTAATCTGGAGTTTTTTCATTTAAAATAAAATTGTTAATAGAAACCATGTTATAAAATGGAATTTTTTTAGGGTTTTTTTTTTTTTTTCCCTCCCACCTGGTCAGATATAAGACACAAATCCTATAATTCTGATTCAGTGGTTGATGGTAAAGCTACCATTGCTATAGCTCAGTTACCTGGATATGTTGTAAAAGGTCACAGTTCAATCCTATTGCAGTGTAAAGATCAGAAATCTGTCTCCTGAATGATAGTTTCTTTTTGATGCTATTGAGAGTACTTATGTTAAAATTTTAATCTGATTTATTAAAGTTGCAGTTTTTATAGCTTATGTTAAGACTAATACAGCTTTCTGGCATAAAATTCTTTCATGGAGAAAAGTATGTTGGCTGCTTTTAAGTAAATTGTTGCCTTCCAGGCAGGGAGGTCATGTGCTCTTGACTGGCTGGTGGTAACGTTGAAAATCAATTTGCACTGATTTTCAAGTGGACTCTCTTGTTCAAAAGTACCTATACGGTGGCTACTAAATGGAAAGTTCAACTCGTTTTTTGGAATTAAGTGGTATTCATTTCCTCAGGCTATGCGAAATAAAACTGAATTCATTAATAATTGTGGATATCTTTACTACGGATGTAAAGACCCCTTATGGAGTGACTGTACATGCAGAAAGACGCCTTTTGCAAATTCAGGGATGCTACATTTTTTTTTTTTTCAATAATTTGAGTTAAAATGTTTTCTGGTCATGAAATAGATGATACTTTTTAAAAATATGAACTTGAAAATTTGTTTCTCCAAAAATTTCTGTTTGACCACCATGTATTTTGCTTCTTCTAAGTATTTTATATTAGCAGGAAGGGTGAGTTTTCAGAGTTCAAGTTTGATTTCTGTATGCCAACCAGCTTTCTTTTTTTCTTTCTTTGTGTCAAGGGATATACTAGATAGATAGATAGATATAAATAGATATATAAATAAATATAAATAGATACTTGATTCGTAAACCATTCTTTGATAATGGTTTGTTAAATTTTTAATTTGATTTGCTCATTAGAGTTGCTATTTTTATAGCCTGAAAATTATGACATATCATGGGTGTTCTTTTTAAAATCATATCCATGACTAAATTACTGCTCAGGATGCATATTAATTTGATTTGCTAAGGAATGTGTCCACAAGGTGAGTGGGGAGCCTTGGTTTTGACCTGGACATTTGTTTTGATGAGCGTTGGCACCATCAGTATTGTGTCATGAGAACCATTTTGTTCTGTTTGTTTCATTTGAATACACAGCAGACTTCCTTAGAAATAGAAATTGCTAGTGGGTTTACAGGATTATTGATGTAGTATTTTGATAATTTATATAGTGCAAATTTCTTCCCCAAATGTCACTTATTCTAGTCTTACAAGTCAGGCCTTAACAGTGGGGTTTTCAACTCACAGGCTGTTAACTCTGAGAAACTGCTTACAAGTGAGGGCTGTTTTAAAGCATAGGTTGTAAATTTGATCACCATGGCAAAAAAAGTAGATAAACTAAGGTTCTGGAGATACTTAAGAAGGATATGTACATGCATTTTCAATGATTCAGCACTATAAAGGGGTTTATAGTCTTGTTTAAAAAATATTTTCCCTTATTTTAGATGTAAATGCAGAAAATTTGAGAAAAGCAGAATGTATGTGGTAGAGTAAAAATTATTATGTAGCTACAATATCTACTATTTTTATGATAAATAACAGATATATTAAATAAATTGCTAAGAACCTTTTAGGAGTCAGTGACATCTTATTGTTTGATTTCTTCCCACCAACTTCATCCCTTTCTGTCTTTAAAAATAAAACAATTTATAAAACTTTATAGCATTACACAAAATAGTTCTGAAAAATACAGCCCCAAATATGTGTTACCTTTTTTTTATTAAGCCAGGGATGAACAGAGAGGAGTCTGTCTGTGAATGGAGGGTGTGTGTGTGTGTGTGTGTGTGTGTGTGTGTGTGTAGAGCAGGAAGGTAGTATTGGCATGCACTGTGGCGCTGATGTGGTGTTTCCTGTTCCTTTCTTAGGACCTCCGAGGATGTCCCCAAAGGCCCAGCGACACCCTCGAAATCACAGAGTTTCTGCTGGGAGGGGTTCCATTGCCAGCGGCCTTGAGTTTGTCCCCCACAGCCCAGCAAGTGAAGCAGCTGCTCCTCCAGCAGCAAGGAGCGGTCCGGCGGGGGGCACGTGGTCCTCGGTGGTCAGCGGGGGTAGGTGACACTTGCCTCGGGCACGGTGCTGGTGTGCGCTGGTGACTCGCCTGCAGGAAGCAGGACTGAGCTCAGGCTCTGTTGAGGAAGAAAGAGTCCAGAGATTTACAAACCCGCATTCTGGGCTAATGATCACATGATTATTCTGAATTTCCACTTTCTCAGTGAACGAAATAGTTTTTGCCTGTTTCCTTTGTGGATTTGTGATGAGATTCATAAGTATTAATGTATAATTTATGGATTTAAATTGTATAAGTTAAAATTAGTACTTTATAATTTTATAAATTAAAAGTCCCATTTGGAGGGATTACATTTCCTATCTTAACAACTTTGTTCTTTGATTCATTTCACACTGTTGTTTTTCTGTAGCAGCTGTATATAGCACTGGTTCCTTGCTAGATTTCTACTCTAAAGCATATCAAACACATGTGGGGTAGGAGTTTGTCACTAGCTTGAATGTACAGCCAGCCAGCAGCTGTAAAGGCGTAAAAAAATACTCTTTTACAGGATTTTACAGTTGGGCTAAATCTGTTTTCGCTACTTCATGTTTTGCTTCTGATAACTAAGCTAGAGCATTTAGTGATTGCTTCTGTGATTACTGAGTTTTGCGTACTGAGGTACAGGCCAGATGTGCGGGAGGTAAGAGGACTCACCAGAGACAGAGTAACGAGCAGGACAGGCAGACTGATGAAGTACACTGCTGAGGGAGCAGCAGGTGAGATAGGAGAGGGCTGTTGTGCCATGTGGGTCACTTCGCTGGCAGGGAACTGAACTCATTCCAAAGTGGCTGCTGATACCTTCAAAATGCTACGCTCCAATTCGTTGAACTGGTAAGGAGGGCCCAAGAAAAGGAATCTTTAAACAAACAAAAATATACTCAGCTATACTTAATGGTTTTAATTGATGTACACTGCTTCACATGTAGAATTTTATTCTAAATTCCTTTGTATTTTCTATTTTCTTCTTTGGATTTCAATTACAAGGATATAATAATTCAAGGAGGGCCTCCCTGGTGGCACAGAGGTTAAAGTCTCAGCACTGTCAGACTATTGCCAGCCACTTATGGCATGAGTTCCACGGGGAGCTAGCTGACCATATGGCTCAGCAGACTTCTCCTTTCCCACCCGCTGCTCCCCTCAGCAGTGTATGTCAGTAGATCCATTTGTTCTGCTTCCCACTCTGTCTCTGGTGAATCCTCTTGACCCCCCACACTCTGGCCTATACCCCAGGTCTTGCATCTACAAATAAATCTTAAAAAATAAAAATTCATGAGCAAGGAAATAGAATTTCTGTCTTTATTTCTTCAGTTGATGCTATGTTAGTCATTTGATTACTCAGTAGTCCTGTTAATCTCCGATGATCTGGAAATGAATTTTGAGAGTAACAACATGACTTTAGACATGAAAAATAACATAGTTGTAGAGATACACAACTCTACAGATTTATTCTTTATACTAATTAGGAAAATGACAATTTTTGAAGAGTAGTTTCTTTCCATGACCCTATGACTTAAATAAAGAACCAGTACAGTAAACCAAATTAATTAATTTTCTCTCAACCTTTGAACCTCAGCTTTATAAACAGGTATATCAACTGAGAAACCTATTGGGTACTTTGAAATTGTATAATATAGACCCCTCCTTGGATTTTCTTCCCTTTTGATTAAACCGGGTCCCAAAGTTTTGTAATTACTGCAGAATGGATCTTGATGTTGCAAGAAAGAGTAGTATGATTGTTTACAAAATATTTTGAGATTATTATTTGTAGGAACAAAGAGATCTTATCTTAGGGACCCCTCCCCTCACCTTTTTAAAAGAAACAGTAGAGGGCCCTCCCTGGTGGTACAGTGCATTCAAGCATAGCACTATGCAGCCGCTTCAGCACAAGTTCTAAACCTGGCCGGGAGCAACCCACATGGCGCAGCAGACCTCTCCTGTTTTGCCCGCTGCTCCCCTCAGCAGTGTATTTCAGTCTTTCTATTTTGCTCCCCACTCTGTCTTTGGTGAATTTTCCCACTATCCCTGTGGCCAGCTTGTACCTCAGTTCTGTATGCATAAATAAATACATCTTTAAAAAAAAATAGTAGAAAATTCTAGTAGAGAATGTTATCTTTTAAAATAGCATTTGTTCTGTTTTAGAAATGCAGTTTTCTTACTTCGTTTAAAATGGCGGTAACCCTTGAACAGTGTTGGGAGTAGAGGAGTTAGGGGTATCATAACCTCCCTCTCTCCACAGGCCACCTGCATACAGTCAGAAATTGTGTGACTTGTAGTTGGTTCCCCACATGCATGGGTTCCATGTCCATGGTTTCAGCCATCTGACTTCCCTGGTTGGTTGAATCTGAATGTAAAGCCCTCTGATAGGGGAAATAAAAGAATCTGAATGTAAGTGAACTTTACAGGTCAAACCCGTGGTTTTCAAGTAAGCTGTATTACTATTTATCATTTAGTTAGGAAGAAAACCTACAGTGGTACTTAGCTGTTAGTAATTGCTGCCATTCTTCAGATGTTTGTATTCTTTTTTTCTTTTTAAAGGTTTATATATTTATGAATACAAGAACTGGGGTACATACAGGCCACAGGTAGTGGGGATGGTGAGAGGATTCCCCAGAGACAGAGTGGGGGCCGACTGACTGAAATACTCTGCAGAGGGGAGCAGTGTGCAAGACAGCAAAGGTCTGCTGTGCCTTGTGGGTAGCTCCCTGGCCGGGGATAGGGCTTGTATTGCAGTGGCTGTGGATAGCTTAATAGTGAAAAGCGTTAGAAAAGAAAATAGTGTCATGGGATAGCTGGGATTTTACCTAGATCTTTACGAAAGCCTCTTTGAGGAAGTGACGTCTGAGCTGACAATGTAATGGATAGCTTCTCTCTTTTTTTCTAGTTCCAAGATTATCCCCCAAAACTCACAGGCCCAGGTCTCCCAGACAGAACAGTGTTGGACATTCTCCTAGTGGGCCGGTTCTTGCTTCTCCCCAAGCTGGTATTATTCCAACTGAAGCTGTTGCCATGCCTGTTCCAGCTGCATCTCCCACACCGGCCAGTCCTGCATCCAACAGAGCTGTTACCCCTTCTGTGGAGGGTATGTGAGGTTTCCAGGGCCAAAATGCTGTTTGTGAAGTTAACATGAAAAATACTGTTGTTTTTATTCACAGGTTTATATTTGAATGCATGTTTGCAATTTTACATAAATGTAACTTTAATACAAAGTTGAGATATATTGTCTTGAATTTCTCATTCAGGTGGCTGATGTTCCTAGGTAGTAAATATTAATGTAAATAAAATTATTGGTGTTGCATATACCTGCAAAGGAAAAGAACCTCTCTTTAATGGAAATGTTCTTCCATTAGCATAGGAACTCAAAGTTGTTGAATAATTTCAAACCCTTTTAATTTTCCAGCTTCTGACATTGAATTTATTTATAAAAAATTATTTTCTAGCTAAGGATTCCAGGCTTCAAGATCAGAGACAGAACTCTCCGGCCGGCAATAAAGAAAACATGAAGGCAAATGAGTCTTCTCCCAGTTTTTCAAAAACTGAAAATAAAGGTTAGAACTTGAAAAAATCTTTGTGGAAATAGTATTTCAGATCTCATGCCCAGTACAGAATGTATTTGGTCAACACTCCTTAGTACTGTGTATATTTAAATGAATAATTTGACAAATAAACAAAATCTGTAATCAGTTGAACTTTCATTTCCATAGTAGATCTTAATTTCTGACATTCCATCCTAAAAGAACCTTAGGTTAAAGATTAGAAATAAATCTGTATTAACAGTTTTTAATTTTACAGGTGTATCACCAGTTGTTTCTGACCATAGGAAACAGATTGATGATTTAAAGAAATTTAAGAATGATTTTAGGGTAAGTGTTGCATTCACTAATGAATTATAATTAAAAAAAAATTTGGTAATAGGAATTTTTGTGTCATATTTACAGAAAATGCGTATATACAGAGAATAATGAACCATGTGTCGAATAGAAAGCTATAGTTGTCTTATGGTGTAAGTGGGGTAGGATAACTAAATTCATGGAAGTTAATAATAAAAGTAATATATATATATATATCAGATGTGGAGAATATGATTCTGAGATTTGAAGCTGTCATAACATAAATTACTATTTGATGTTCATTTGATTACTATAGTGGGCAATAAAGGAAAGCCGAGGGGTTAATTATCTGGTGTGGTAAGTAAAAGATACATAATACTAGTACCTGGTGTTCTGATGTGGTTATGGATTAACACTGTACACAGATAGATTGCACTGTAAATCTTTGTGTAATGTCTTGTCTGTTGTAATGCTTATTGAATATACTGGAATTTCTCCTGGATGACTTTTTTCGTTTGTACAATATTTAATGTACTGTACAAAGCAAGGCGTATTTTGAGATCAGCTCAAGTAATCATTCTGAAATTTAGCTTCTTAAATAAACTGTCAGCCTTTGGAGAAATGGCTGACTTAAAAGATGGATGAGCCAAAGTTAAAAGGCAGCATTTTCCTAGCATGTGTTCTGGCTTCCTAAACATCAGTACTTTTGTTTTGCTAATAACTTGGTTCTTAGTATATTTATTCAGCTTTAATAGTACGACTGAGAGTTGTGAATTTTAAGTTTTTTTAAATTAAAGTTATTACTTCCAGCAACACAAAGAATAATGACTGAATACCATGATGTCCAGTACCCAACTTAGTACCTGAAATACCGCAACACAGCTAAAGTCCTCCTCTCTAAGTCCTCCTCAGCTGTATATTCCTCTTCCCTTTCTGCAGAAAGTATTTCCTCTGCAGTTCTTCCAGTGAACAAGAAGAGTTTTCTGGAGTTTCCCTGGTGGAGTTAGGGGCAAATCTCAATGGTATCCTTGGCCAGGGAGCTTATCCATTTCTGCCGCTCCTGTCTCCTCATCTGCTATTCCCCTTAGCAGTATATTTTAGTAGAGCTGCCTGTTCTGCTCCCTGCTCTGTGTCTGGTGAATCTTTCACACACACTCACACACAAACTCACACATACCCCCTACACCTGACCTACACACACTCATACCACACATTGCCCCTACACCTGACCTAAACCCCAGTTCTATGCATGCGTAAGAAAAATCTTTTAAGAAATAGATTTCTAAGCAGTAGTTGATACTATTTTACATAATCCTCAATTTGGTTTAAATGACCTACAATTCTGTGTAGTCAAATTTCCAGGATATTTGCATTAAAATTTTTTTTTAAAGATTTATTGATTTATGCACACAAGAACTGGGATATAGGTCAGAGGTGTGTGTGTATGGGTTGGTGGTGGTGAGAGGATTCATCAGACAGAGTGGGGAGCAGAACAGGCAGTGACTGAAATCCACTGCTGAGGGGAGCAGCGGTTGAGACAGGAGAGGTCTGCTGTGCCATGTGGGTTAGCACCCTGGCTGGGGATCAAACTCCTGCTGCTGTGGATGGTGACAACTGGATAGTGCTGAGATTTGTACCGCCAGGGAGGCCCCTGCATTAAAATTTTACTTTGATGCTTAGGAGGGCATTTTTTGTAACAGTTTTGGCTGATACATGATGCACCGTACAATTGAACCACTTAAAGTATACAGTTCAGTGGGTTTTCATATATTCCAAGTATACAACTATCACACTGAATTTTAGGATATTTCCTTCACTCCCAAAGGAAGCCTTATACCTTCCTTTTCTCGCTTGTTTTCATCATCTCTTCCTAAAAAGCTACGAATCTACTTTCCTGTATATGTATTGGCTTACCTGTTTATTTCATATAAGTGGAATCACATAGTGTGACCTTTTGTGACTGACTTTTTTCTCTTAGCGTAAGTTTCTCAAGATTCGTCCATGTTGGAGCATCAGTTCTTCATTCCTTTTTATGAGTAAAGGGATATTGTATGGATATATCACTTTTTATATATCCATTCATCAGAGTTACCACTCTTGGACTGTTTCCACTTTTTGACCATCGTGAATAATGCTGCTGTGAACATTATGTACAGGTTTTGTGTGGCCATGTATTTTCTTGCTTTTGGATAAAGATCTAAGAGTAGAATTTCTAGATTTTATAGTAATTCTTCAAGTTTTTGAGGTGAGCTGCCAGACTGTTGCCAAAGCAACTGCACTGTTTTTTTAAAAAGCGTTTGAGGGTGACTTTCATAACTCTTCAATTAAAATAGTTTGTGTGTGCGTATGTATTAAATACTGTTCAAAGTGCTTATCTGTTGAATCCTTTATTGTCTTAACGTTGCTTTGAAGTAGGTTTCACTAGTATATAAAGAAACTAAGACAAAGACAAGTTAAACGATTTGCCCAGTTCATAGCTAGAGAATGGTCAGCTGCCTGCAGCACACAAGCTTCTAGCAGTGTGCCAGCAATAGCGAATGCATAGTTGTGTGCTCTGTCGCTGTGTGAGGGAGTTATCAAAGCTATGCATGTGACCTTGACCTGTAATGGGTCACAGAAGACTTTTTTTTTCCTTCTTCATTAAAACAAAAGTAGGAGTACCCTGTGATTTCATCATTTTATGTGTGTGTGTGTATTTTTTTTTCTTTGAATGTCATCTATAGCCTGATAAAACTATGTGCAGGGTGCTGCAGCTTTACATTTGTGAGAAATGCTAGTAATTTGTTCTGTTACAGGTTAATGGTGTGGGTTTTAGAGGCAAATACACAATGTGGGTTTGAATCTTGCCCTGCAGCACATATTTTCTATATAGTTGAAGTTACCTATTTTCCTAAGTCTGAGTGGGATAAGTGTAAAATATTTATCTTGATGGTCCTGCTATTAAGTAATTATTTACTTAATAATGTTCTTTTGAGAGTTAAATGAGATCACTTCCTAGAAAATTTATAACATAATACCTAGCATATAGTATGTAGTTCAAAAGTATTAACTTCCTTTAACTAAGAGAGATGATCCAAAATTGTACTGGTGATGGACAAGTCATACAAGAATCTCAAATTTTCCCCTACAATGTCCATACTACCCAAAGCAGTATACAGAATTCATGCAATCCTTATAATTCTGGTGGCCTTTTTTTTTTTTCCCCCAGAAATAAAACAAATAATCCTAAAATTTGTATTGAACTACAAAAGACCCCCAGATAGTCAAAGAAATCTTAAGGAAGAAAAATAAAGCTAGAGGCATCACTCTCTGATTTCAAAACATATTGCAAAGTATAGTAATCAAACCCATATGATAGTGGTATAAAAATTACCTAGATCATTGGAGCAGAATACAGAGCCCTTAAATAAAGTCACACAAAAAATGGTGAGTTAATATATGACAAAGTAGCCAAGAATCAACAATGGGAAAAGGATAGATTCTGTAGTAAGTGTTGCTGGGAAAAGTAGGCCGTTATCTAACACTATCCACAACAAGGTTTGGCTCAGTAGATCCAGTGAGTTCTCATTAGCTGAGGGTTTCAAAGCTGGATCCTTAACGTAACTTTAAAGTGTCCTTCCTCTTGTCATTTCTTGACTTGGGCTTGTGTGCCCACTCTTTCTCTGTCCACTAATGCTTTTTTTTTTTTTTTTCGCATTAGGGCCCATCTTCTTCCTTTCCTTGGTTATTAAACACGTAGTTTCTTTTTGTTAGACTTCCCTTTTCTACGCTTGTCATTGAAACCTTACACTAGGTGACACCTCATTGGGATAGCTTCTCTTTCTGTAGGTTATTATTTACTAGGATCTCGTAGCATTTACTGCCATTTAATTGTTAGATGGCTGATACCAGATGGTAAACTTTGGGAGGATAGCAGTTACTTAATATTTTCCATACCCAGCAGTTACAATTTCTGGTCCATACCTGCATTCGGTAAAGATTCAGCTTATGACACTGGGACATCTGAGTGCTTTAGATGACTATGGTGGATTTTATAAATACTCTGTTACAGTTGCTTTATGATGAACATTGCTTGTCAGGTATGAAAAACCTTGTTCGGTATATTTCATATTTATAAATAATGCTGCTTGTATGCATAGAGAAAATTTATTGCTAGTTATTTAAAATATTTAAATGTAACTTTTCCTTTAGTTACAGCCAAGTTCTACTTCTGACTCTATGGATCAATTGCTAAACAAAAATAGAGAGGGAGAAAAATCAAGAGATTTGAGCAAAGACAAAATTGAACCAAATGTTAAGGATTCTTTCATTGAAAATAACAGCAGCAACTGTACCAGTGGAAGCAGCAAGCCCAGCAGCCCCAGCGTGTCCCCTTCGATCCTTAGTAGCTCGGAGCACAAGAGGGGACCTGAAGTCACATCCCAGGGGGTTCAGACTTCCAGCCCAGGATGTAAACAAGGAAAAGATGACAGAGAGGACAAGAAAGATGCAGCTGAGTGAGTAAAGCTGAAATGTAGCACACACTCTTTATTTAACATATTTTTTTAGAATATCCAGGGTCTTCCAACTCAAGAATCAAGTATCTAGACTTTCAGATTGCTTTTACCTTAAAAGCAATTCTTAACTTAAAACAGCTACTCTACGCAAATGATAGCTTACATGAATTTGGTCTCGCACTGCTACTCCTATTCCTTCCTTCGCCATTTTTGCACCCCATGACCAATATATATATGTGTGTATAGGTATAGATTATGAGAGGTTTTTTTTCTGTAAATGCACGGAAGTTAGAAATTACTGGTTTCTGGATCCTGTATCCCTTGAATACCAGTCATGGTCCAGCTCCTGGCTGTGGTGCCAAGACTTAAAAGATAGGCCACTGCCAGGAAATGAGAAGTATCTGGCACTGCTTAGATTAGTGTGTTTTCTTAAACAGTGTTAGTTAATGGTTAGATTTTTAAGATAAATTTAATTCTGCACATTAGTTTATTATCAGTTAAATAGATTTTGTGGTCTCATCCTGACCTAACCACTGATTGACTCTTGCATTCAAACAATCCAGTTGCAGTTCAGCTTTTTAAAGCTCAGCTTGTTGATAAATTAGGGAATAACTTACTCTTGATCGTTATAAAAATTTTTACTAGGGTTTTTCCAAGATACATTCCAACATATGTTTAATAGAAAACCGTTTATTCCATTAAAAATTACGGTATGCTAGAGAATTGGTGGGTTCTTTTGAAAGGATTACTTTTAAGGGACTACCAGTGTTTTTTTTGTTGTTGTTTTTTTAAAGATTTATTTATTTGTGCATACAGAACTAGGGTGCAGGCCAGAGGCTAAGGGGCAGCGAGAGGCTTCACCAGAGACCGAGCGGGGAGCAGATCAGGCAGATGGATGAAGTCCACTGAGGGGAGCAGCGGGCGGGTCAGGAGAGGCCTGCCGCGCCATGTTGTCACCTCCGGGGCAGGCAGGGATCGAACTCATGCTGAAGCGGCTTAAGCTTCTCAGTGCTGCACTCTAACCCGCTTCGCCACCAGGGAGGGCCGGGACTACCAGTTTTTTCATTTTAAGTATCTGTTGATTGATTGTCTTTGAAGTAAGTGCATATTACACTTTTTTAAAAATATTTGTCCTCTTTGAACAGTCTTTATCAGATTAAGGCAAGTACGTGGGTGTTTTTATGAAGAGGATTAATAATCTTCTAATGAGACTTGTTTTAATGAATGTTTGCCAGTGTCAGATATTTGAAAGTAGCAGCAATGGCTGTTTAAGGTATTTTATTTTGTAGAATTTTAGAGAAACATAAGTTATAGGCAGATATCATTGACCTTTTTTTTTTTTCTTTGTTTCAGGCAAGTGAGGAAATCAACACTGAATCCCAATGCAAAGGAGTTTAACCCTAGGTCTTTTTCTCAGGTTAAGTTTTTTTCTAAAATCTGTTTTTAAAATTTAAATTTATTGTTAGTAATATTATTTTCCCCTACCTGTCATCTAAACTTACAGTATGCTAAAGCAACTCTTGGCTTAAGTATGGTTATTCTTTATTCTTTTATTTTTTTGAAGATTTATTTATGCATACAGAATTGGGATACAGGCCAGAGATGCAGGGGGTGAGAGGATTCACCAGAGACCGAGTGAAGGACAGAACAGGCAGATGTACTGAAATACACTGCTGAGGGGAGCAGCAGGCCAGTCAGGAGAGGTCTGCCGCGCCCTGTGGCTCAGCTGCCTGGCTGGGAATTGAACTCAGGTTACAGTGGCTGCGATAGCTTCATAGTGCTGTGCTTTAACCCATTGCGCCACCAGAGAGGGCCCTGGTTATTCTTTTTTTTTTTAAGTGTAATTATTTGAAATATCTTTAAGCTGTAGAAAGGATTCCTTTGTCAGTCAGTGGGAGAGAGATCTGGTGCCAACCTTTAAAGGTCGTTGGTTAGCAGATTACCTGGTCTGTTGTCAAGCCACTGAATTTGTAAGACAATAGGATTATATTTTAGGGTTCCCCACCAAGTAATGTTGGGTTACATTGTTCATATTTTTGATGTATAGGATCCCCCCTTAGGATTATGGCACTGTAGTGCACCCACTACCAAAGCACCATAGTCCACCACCAACGTCCATTGTGCCTCTTCCCACTTTATGCTCACCCTTTCCCCATTCCCTCCTCTTCGGAATTCCCAGTACTGTATTCAGCTTTCAAGAGTTATTTAAGTTTACCTTTGTTGGATCCCTGTATTTGTTTTCCCTCTATTCCACATTTAAACTTATTCCATCTCCTTAAATATCACTGCTGTTGATATTTTGAAATAGTATTGTTGACTTACTGGCAAAATTTTACTTTGACTTTTACCAAATAAAGGTCACCCCCCCCCCCTTAAAAGGACTAATTGAAAAATAAAAGTGAATTTTAGAAAAATGGGGAAGTCTCCAAATAGTTAGCTTTTTATCTTAAAATAGTTGATTTTGTTTTTTATAGCCAAAGCCTTCTACCACCCCAACTTCACCTCGTCCTCAAGCACAACCTAGCCCATCTATGGTGGGTCATCAGCAGCCAACTCCAGTTTATACTCAACCTGTTTGTTTTGCACCAAATATGATGTATCCAGTACCAGTGAGCCCAGGCGTGCAAGTAAGTTGTAGAACTTAATGTCATTTGCTCTCTTTAGTTACTTGTGTTTAACACCAGACCCACTACGTATGTATAGATTTTAAGGCAGTGGTAGAATAACAGAAGTGTCTGAAAAGGGAAGACAGTACTATTATGTGTTGTAGTATGTGAACCCAAATGAGAAGATTTTCTGGTGAGAAAGATTGTTTAGATTTTCCTAGATTGTCTTTTTAGTTGTGGTGTGGTTTTATTTTTTCATGATTTGGAGAATCAGGAAACTTCAGATAGATCTGTCAAGACACCTCTAGAGTGGTAGAGTATATATTACTTCAAAAGTCTAATTTATTTTTTTAATTCCCTCAAGCCTTTATACCCTATACCTATGACGCCCATGCCAGTGAATCAAGCCAAGACATATAGAGCAGGTAAAGGTGAGAATAATCCTGCCTGTGTTTGCTTGTATTGTGCATGCTGCATGAGTTAAGTAATTTGGTTTATAATGAATTCAGTTTTGATTTTTTTTTTTTAAAGATTTATTTATTCATACAGAACTGGGGTACAGGCCAGAGGCTCAGGGGCGGTGAGAGGCTTCACCAGAGACAGAGTGGGGAGCAGAACAGGCAGATCGACGAAGTACACTGCTGAGGGGAGCAGCGGGCGGGTCAGGAGAGGTCTGGCTCGCCAGTTGGTCTCCTCCGGGGCAGGCGGCAGTCGGGAATTGAACTCATATGGAAGTGGCTTCAGACTCCCAGTGCTGTGCTTTTACCCGCTGCGCCACCAGGGAGGGCCCAGTTTTGATTTTTGATGAGACTTTTTGTTGACTTGTAATTACCAGTCTTGCATAAGGGATTTGTATGCATATATTAAAGAAGGGTTGGTGGGAGAACTGGTCTTTGGTTTTTTGATCTCATTTCAGAAACCCTTAAGGTCTTACTAGAGGAATGGTTCTTAATCTTTAAAATGAGAATGTTTCATAATCTAGAATTCCGTGCATGTGTAGTTAAAGAACCTTAATAGAAAAAAACTTCCATTTAAAAAAAAAAATGAAAATTATCTGATGTTGAAAAGGTTCCCGTTTTTGCCATTCCAGTAATTGAGAGCAACTTGCTGTCCTCTTGTTAAAAAACAATAGAAAGTAGAATGATTTATATCAAAATGACATTTCTCAATGCCCAGTAATTTACTGTTCTGGCATAAAGTTTTTACTTCTGAGCTTAATAAGGTTTCCATTGTTTGAAGTAATCATTATGTTGTGGATGTTCGTAATTGAAACTCTTACTGGCTTTGTTTTAAAGTGTCCTTTACCTTTGCCTTAGAACACTAGAACCTGTTGAAAGAACAGTTGTCTAGTTGTAGTATGAATTTTATTTTGAGGGCCTCAAAAAAGTCAAGGAAGTTTCTTTTAGATTGATTTTGAATGAGGTTAACATTAGCCATGTTCATGTATTACTGGAATTATTTTAATGATTCCTCAAAACAGGAGTCAGTAAATGTTTTTACATTACAATGTAGTGGTTTTATATTAAGGTATGAAAAATTATTTGAGTGAAAGCAAGCAACACAGTGTAGCTCTCTTATGTGAGAGATGCACTATAGCTTCAGGAAGCAGTCATTTTAATAGAGGAGAAGTTATGTATTCTAGGGCTACCTCAACCAGCTTTATAGTGCTTTCTAGTAAGATAGAATAGACACACAGCAAAGTGTCAGCTGCAAACACATGCTAAGAATGAAAATGACTAGGTGGCTGTGAAGCTTTTGCCCACATATGCATTCTGTTTGAAGTATTTAAAACACATTACAGACATCATGCCATTTAATAACTCCTACGTAATTTGTATCTTTTAAAAGCATAGGGAATTTTCTTAGGTAACCAAAGTGTATACTATTATCACTCTTTATAAAATAAAGCCTTGTTGTAAAAATTTTTATCATCTAACAACTATTATAATCAGATGAACCTCAAGAATATTTTCACAGTTGTTTTGTTTTGAATATGGATCAGAATAAGATCTCATTATTGTATTTACTATTCTTTGTAATTCCTCTGCCTTTTTCTCCCCCCTGTTGCTTATTGTGAAACCAGTATATCTCACATCTTAGATTTGTTTCTTTAATTCTGATATTATTGATTATATTCAGGTTTAATTTTGGGGTGGGGACAGTAATACTAAATGATTTTAAGTGCTCTGGAGCCGTCCAGAGGTATATAATCTCTGGTCCTACTCTGAGTCCTGGTAATGTAACATTAATTAAGGGCTCATGTAGTGATACCCTGATCCTCCCCTTCCTGTTACTAAGTTTTCTATATCCTTTTTCTAATTTATTAATGATTGATGCTTGACTTTTCTTTAGGGCTATGAGGATGAGGCTTAAATTTCAGTGTATATCGGAATCATTTGGGAAGTTTGTGATAAACACAGATTGCTTAGTCCTATGCCTAGGGTTTCACCAGTGCTGTAGATTTGGGCTAGAGTTTAGAATTTACATTTCAGTGCAATTTATAAAACCAGTTGCCAAGTGATGGTCCTCATCATACTTTAAAAACCACTGTAATTAGGGATCTGAAATGCTGTGTTCTGAATTTCTAGCATTTCTTCATTTAATCGCTGGAAGCATTATTATGTATGGAGCTATTCTTTTCATCTGAGGATATTTGATTACCATGACATAGTTTTTGTTTTTTGCTTTTTTTTTTTTTT